CCATCTAGATAGGAAAGTCTGTGAGACTCTTTATTGCCAATTAACCTGCAAAAAGCTGGAAGTGGAGTTGTGGCTCAAATGGTAGAGTGCTGACCCTGAGTGAAATAGGGACAGACGGGAGAGAACAATGGAAAGGGTGACATTGATCAAGATGCATTGTACTCATAATCTAAGTGCTAATTAAAATCCCTTTCTACAACTCCTTTTTAAAAAAAAAGCTAAGGGACAGTAGCCAGGTCCTGAGCTCAAGCCCCCAGCACTGGGAGTCACCCAAAAAATAATCAAGGCAGGGAAAGAGCTGGAAGTGTGGTTCAAGTGGTAGAGCATCTGCCTTATAAATGTAAGACCCTGCCTTCAATCTCCAGTACTCCAATGAATGAATGAATGAATGAATGAGTGAAAAATAGAATAAGACTATGGAACCATGATACACTAAATTCCTTGTTGGCTGTAGAAACTAACAACTTGAAGAAAATGAAGTTTGGCCAATAATTTATGGGTTGATTTCCTATAGAGTTTCCTTATAGATTCAACTTCACTCTTCTAATATTATCCGTCCTAGCCATAACTGAAGATAACTGAGCAAAACAACTGGCAGAAAATTGCAATTAATCTATTCTTTCCCGTGTTGTGAGAGGCATGACTTACAAAGCGGTGACCTTTCGGCAGGCTAACGCTGTGTTGATGAACTTCAAGCAGAGGAACATTTAGTATCAACTCTGCTTACACTTGGCTAAGGGAACACGTGGGGCAGGAGAGCCTTTAAAGGTCAGACACTTCTTTACTTTGAGAGATATTAAATAGCTTATGAAAATAGAGGTCAGCCACATGGTAACTGGAAGAAAAGAACATTCCCCAATAGGGAAGTAAGATATTTGAGGTTGTGTGGACTGGCCTTTTGTAAAATTATATTTGACTATCCTCAGATAAAAGAAGGAAATTTGCATATAAATACCATACTCTATACCTTTTGTCTTGTATGTTTTGGGGAGGGTAAGGGAGGTCATAGAAATGGAGAGACAAAGGGTGAGCAAATGCTGTAGTGATACTAGACACTATGTTGAAAATGAACGATACAACTTGTAGGTGGGGATGGGAGGGAAAAACTGGGAGAAAATGAAGGAAGGGGTGGCATTGTCCAAAAAAGTTGTACATTATCTGAACACCAAATAAAACATAATTATCAGAAGGAAACTCAATTAAAAGTTCTTGCTTTGAAGATAATGAATGTAAGTTTGGCTCAGCACTGGTGGCTCACGCCTATAATCTAAGCTACTCAAGAGGCTGAGATCTGAGGATTAGAGTTCCAAGCCAGCTGGAACAGAAAAGTATCTAACACTCTATTTCTGATTATCCAGCAGAACGGCTTGACTAGAGGTGTCGCTCAAGCCATTGAGCAAGCACCAGCTGTGAGCAACAAAGTCAAGTCAGAGTGTGAGGTCCTGAGTTCAATCCCTACAACAGCAGAAAGAAAAAGGAAAGGGACAAAAAAAGATAGGGAAGGGGAAAGGGAAAGCCAGGAATACAGGTGGCTTACATCTGTACTCCTAGCTATGCAGGAGTCTGAGGTCTGAGGATCTGGGTCCAAAGCCAGTCTGGGCAGGAGAGTCTGTGAGACCCTTATCTCCACTTAACCAGCAAAAAGCTAGAAGTGGAAGTGTGGCTCAAGTGGGAGAGCCTCTGCCTTGAGTTAAAAAGCCAAGAGAGTGTACAGGGCCCTGAGTTCAAGCCCTAGTACCAGTATGCACATGAACACAAGCACATACACAAAAGCAAGCAAGCAGGAAAGACTGATTTCCTTATTTCATGCCACTCATCGAGGTTGCTCTTGATGCAAGACTTATAGGAAAAGGAACAGGTTGACAATATTTCAATCAATGTTAAATAGCTGATAACAGATTGTGACTGAGTTCTTTTCAGAGGGAAGAGTGTGGACCACCTCCTCTGTGAAGGGGCATCATAAGACAGTCTGTGGACAAAGTGGTGACCCTTCCCTGCTGCGTGGATTCTCTTTGTAATCATATGACTGCACAGTCAGCCTCAATAATCTATTTGCTGGGCACTGGTGGCTCATGCCTATAATCCTAAATTACTCAGGAGGCTGAAATCTGAGGATCACAGTTCAAAGCTAGCCCAGAGTCCATGATATTCTTTTTGTTTGGGGTGGGTCCGGTCGTGGGGCCTGAACTCTGGGCCTGGGCGCTGTCCCTCAGCTCTTCAGCTCAAGGCTAGCATTCTACTACTTGAGTCACAGCACCACTTCTGGGTTTTTGCTTTTTGCTTATGTGGTGCTTCGGAATCGAACCCAGGACTTCAGGCATGCAAGGCAAGCGCTCTACCACTGAGCCAACTTCCCAGCCCCTAGTCCATGATATTCTTATTTCCAATGAGCCACCAGAAAACCAGAAGTGGAGCTGTGGCTCAAAGTGGTAGAGCACTAGCCTTGAGTAAAACAGCTCAGGTACAGCACCCAGGCTCAGAGCACTGATTGTCCAGCAAGAGCTCAAGGAAGGCACTAATGTTGTTCAGCGCCTGTATTTCCCACAAAATCAGCATTCCAAAGTGTGTCATTGGAAATTCCAGGACAATTGTTCAGCCCATGGAGAAAGTGTACACACAAGAGGGAAGTATGCACACCAGCAACTTCCACTCCCGTCTCCAGCTGAGATTCCCTACTAGTGAGCCAAGAACTGAACTGGGACGTATTTTGCTGGTGTGGAAACTTAACTGCTCATTTTTTTTTTGAAGGCACATTAACTCTTTCAAGGTCCATTGAGTAAATTAAGTCCTCCAGATCATTAAGCCTGAGTCTATGTGGCGGGACAGTTTCTACCTAGCTTTGTATTATTTACCGCCCCCCCTCCGAAGCCCCCAACACTTGAAAACATGCATATCCTTTGTCTACAAGAGAGAGAGAGAGAGAACTTATTTGAATGTCAGCAATTGTCTACTCAGAGAGAGAACTTATTTGAATGTCAGCAATTGTCTACTCAGAGAGAGAACAGAGAGACAGAGAGAGAGAGAGAGCACTTATTTGAACATCAGCAATTGGTCTTGCAATTCAGAGACTCTGGTTTCTTCATTTTTAGGTAGCCAGGGAACTCTCAAAGCCTCATCCATAAGTAGGTGGCTTTTTATGATGTCTAGAAATGGCAATCATTTCTAGACACAGTATTGTTTCACAATGTATCTCTTCCTATTTGCAAAAGCAAATATAAACATTACTCATTCATTTAGCAGAGGAGTCCTGAAGCTACTCGAGGATTCTAGAGTGCTCTAGTAAGTCATTTCCACGAAGAGCCTGTGTTCTTAGGGGAACAAATTAATAAGCATTTGAGAGCCATCTGAGTAACAATGAGGAAAAGTGGACTGGTGGTCTGGGTGCAAGGCAACCTGGGGAACAGAGCTGGCTCTTTGGAGGAAGGTGTGGGGGGGGAAAGGACTTTTCTCCGATCCTAAATGCCAACGATTCTGCCACTGCTGAGGACAGTTTCTGAAAAGTGATGCTAGCGTCATCACTTTTCCTGTTCTGTCTTACACAGTCTTAAATTGATACAAATTGAGACATGTGAGCACCCTACGGGGCAAGGTGTACTTTGTCTAGGGGTATTTAGGGCAGAGTTTCTGTCATCATATATAGATCAGCTTGAGCTTGTTCAAATGCTGGTGCTGTAGATTTGGGGTGGATACACAGTTCTGTATGTCTTGCTAACTCTGCTGCTGCTGGTGGTCTATGGAACACATTTCAAATGGTCAGGAACTAAGTTTTCCTGGGGCCTTTTGTTTTGTTTTTGGTGACAATACTAGAGCTGAACTGAGGGTCTAGACCCTGTTCCTTAGATTTTTGTTTGTTTTGTTATGTTTTGTTTTTTGCTCAAGGCTGGTTCTCTACCACCGAAGCCACAGCTCCACTTCTGGCTTTTTGGTGGTTAATTGGGAAATAAGTTGTCTCATGGATGTTCTTGCCAAGGCTAGCATCAAATCACAATCGTCAGATCTCTGGCTCTTGAGTCTCTAGGATTACAGGCTTGAGCCACCAATGCCTGGCATAGCAAAGCTTTGAATAAAAATGACGAATTGAAGGAAATGTGACAAACTCCTAAACAAGTAGATTTCAGGCAAGTAAGATTTGGATTAAATATTGGAAACATCACTACCCAAAGATTAATAGGTGGGTTTGTAGCATTCTACTATGTGAAAATTTTGGTGACCATGTTGTTTTGTCATTAAAAAAAATTAATGTGGAAGCTAGATCTAAAATTAAAAAAAATTAATGTGGACACTAGATCTAAAATGCACGGAAACATGCTACATTATCCAGAATTCTAGGCATTCACACACAGCAAGATCAACGGAGGATACTCTTAGGAGGGGATCACAACGGCACAATGACTCTGTGCATCCGAGCATATAAAATAATATTTATCAAAATGAACTCCAGAAAATGGAAATGTGTTTTGTTTTTCATTTTGTTTTTCTTTTGTTTGTTCATTTATCTGTATTTGCCAGGGAAGGGGGCACAGAAATGGGAGGGACAAAGGGTGAACAAGTACAGCAGTGGTGCTCACTGGACACTATCTTGAAAAAGAACAATACAACTTGTGGGTGGGGATGGGAGGGAAAACTGAGAGAGAGCAAGGGAAGGGGCCACGTTGTCCCAAAAGAAATGTCTTCTTTCCCTGAACCTGATTTATGTAACTGTAACCTCTCTGTATGTCACCTTTATAACAGCAATTTGAAATTTAAAAAAATTAAAATAAGCGTTACTAATCATTCCTGATGATATTTTGTTCATCAAGCCCAGAGAGTTCATAAAGATGTGAAAATCATTATTTTTTCCAATCTCCTCTTCATTTTCCTCGTGTTGGCAAAGAGTTCAATAAATGTCACGGTCTGATTCAACATTCCCTTATGGAATTCTGGTCAGGGTGGGTGGACGTGTCCCCTGCCGTTCGGGGAGTCCCTTCCCGACGCCAGCAGCGTGTCCTTGCGTCCTGCAGGTCAATGGGAAGGACCTCTCCCGAGCCACCCACCAGGAGGCCGTGGAAGCCTTCCGCAGCGCCCGGGCGCCCATCGTGGTGCAGGTGCTGCGGCGCACGCCGCTGGGCAGACCGGCCTACGGAGCCCTCCCCGAGGTGAGCCACGCCAGCACGCAGACCGACATCACCTTCCAGCACATCATGGCCCTGGCCAAGCTCCGGCCCCCGACGCCTCCCGTGCCGGACGTCTGCCCCTTCCTGCTCTCCGACAGGTACTTAGGACCCCTTTGATCTCACTTGCCATTTCATGTAGATGTTGGGGGGTGGGGGTGGGGACCACAGTCACTCCAGCAAGCTGGCACAGCACCCCAACTCTGAAAATAAGAAACCAACAACCATCCTTCCACTGCGTTTGCATCTAATCCCCAGCTAGCTACCCTCCCTTGTCAGACACAATGCTTCATCTTCTGGAATCATCCTGGCTAAGGAACAGTGGGAGGTAAAAAAAAAAAACAGTTCCTGTTTCTGATGAGCTCCTCTCCATATATGGGGGGGGGGGAGTTGGGACTAGTATTAGGGCTTGAACTCAGGACCTGGATGCTAACATTTAGCTTTTTTTTTTTAACTCAAGGCAGATGTTTTACTACTTGAGCCACAACTCCATTTCTGGCATTTTGCTGGTTAATTTGGAGATAGAGTGTCTCATGGATTTTTCTGCCAGGGCTGGTTTTGAACCTCCATCTTCAGATCTCAGCCTCCTGAGTAGGTAGGGTTAGAGGCGTGAGCCACCGACACTCAGATTATTCCCAGTCCTTAAGAACCTTGTGCTGCTACTGAACTCTGGTCAGGAAAATAGTTTTCCCACCAAAGCTTCCCAAAACCCTATTAAGACTTGGGTGAAAGTGAAATGTTTGCACTATATCATCTTCGGTGGGTCGCCGCTGTCTCTCTCCCTTGCTTTCTCTTCTTTAAAAGAGAAGCTGGAAAATTAATTTAATTACAGTACAATTCTCCAAAGAGACCAATTATCCAATATATAAAGATGTAAGCAAAGGGTTCTACTGTCAGAGAGTAAGTGTACTGCTCAGAAATAAAGAGCAATTAAAGGAATGTTGTCTCTCAATTTCTACCCATTTGAATGCAGCTAGAGATAATGCTAGTTAGGTATATATTGTGCTTGCACACACATACACTCATGCCACTCCTGGGGCTTGAACCCAAGATCAGGACACTGTCCCTTAGGATTTTCTGCTCAACGTTGGTGCTCTACCACTTGAGCTACAGGTCCACTTGTGGCTTTTTGGTGGTTACTGGGACATGAGTCTGATGGACTTTCCTGCCCAGGGTAGCTTCAAACCATGATCCCCAGATCTCAGCCTCCTGAGGAGCTAGGATTATGGGTGTGAGCCACCAGTTTCCAGATCCTTATATATTTAGGTTTCACTTAGATTCTACTTTGTGGAACAAAGGTCTGATTGTGTCTACTATCCTTGCCCTTTCCTGGCATCTCTAAACCTCATTCAGTGGGTCGCAGGTGTAACTTAGAATCACCGAGGAACTTGAGGAAGCTTTTCAATGCCACATCCTATCTCTGGCCCACTCAATAGCATGTGTAGAGTGGACTCAGATGACAGAATTTTTCAAGTCTCCCTCAGCAACTGTAATAGCAGGTAGGGGTTAGTAATCTCGGACCTTGAGATTTCTGCTTCTAGGACAGCGGTGTCTCCATGTGCTGTGTATTTACCTATTTGGTCATCCGTTGTACAGTAAGTAGTGTGTTGTGTCTGGCCCTGAAACTAAGTGCTGAGAATAAAGCTAGGAACAGAATGAAACCACCCCCTCTTGGCATTAGATGTGGTTGGGCGTCAGTGGCTCACGCCTGGAATCCTTAACTACTCAGGGAGCTGAGATCTGAGGATCAGGGCTCAAAGCCAGCCCGGGCAGGAAAGTTTAGAGACTTATCTCCAATTAACTACCACACAGCTGGAAGTAAAGCTGTGGTTTCAGTGACAGAGCACTAGCCTTGAATAAAAAAGCTCAAGGACAATGCCCAGGCCCTGAGTTCAAGCTCCAGGACCAACCAACACATACACAAACACACACACACAGAAAGAGAGAGAGAAAAAGAGATGGCCTTATGTCTTTGACCTTCTTAGGGTTTAATGCTTAATATCTATATCATAGCTATAGTGATTCAAAGATCACTTCTAGAAGTAATTCAAGTACTTTCCAAAAGTTAAAGGTTATATGACAACCATGTCCAGAATCTCCTCACTTCCTTTATGTACTGTGTTCCATTTCTGAGAGTTTTCTGAAAGGGAATTATGAAAACCTGTGGGTCGTACAAGTTTCCTATGCTATACTGCCATTAATACTACTTATAGCTTGTATATGTGCCATCTAACAAAGGAGAAATGGGAGATTATGAAGCAAAATAGGAAAAGATTATCTTTACAGGGAGATATTATATGCAGTATCTCTACAAGCTGTAATATATATGCCCTTATAATGTTAATGACTTTTAAAAACTAGATTATCTTCAGAGGGTGATAATGTGTGTACATTCTACAGTCTGATATATATATATATATTTATTTATATATATATATATATATATACACGCACACACACACATACATACATACATATGCCTTTGGAAATGGCAAAAACTAGTCTGGGAGGAGTGCAGACATCTGTAATCTTAGCTACTCAGGAGGCTGAGCTCTGAGGATTGTGTTTCAAAGCCAGTCTGGGCAGGAAAAGTCTGAGACTCATACCTCAACCACTAAAAAGCCAGAAGTGGAGGTGTGGCTCAAGTGATAGAGTGCAAGCCTTGAGCAAAAAAATCTTAGGGACTGCACCCAGGCCCTGAGTTCAAGTACCAAGACTGGCATACACACACAAAACAGTCCCAAGGGCTGTGGATATTGACATTATTAGTGCTTTGCTCTAAAATATCCTCTTTGAAGGAAGATTGCAATCCAAAATGCCACCCTTATTTGTGGAGCTAGTTGCTTTTGGATGGTGGGAAGCTGACCAGAGATTATTAGTGGGAGAGCATGAACCATGGAAGATTTCTTATCAGTGTCTTCGCAGAAGGCAACTCTAGTCCTGAGCTCTTACCTCTTTTAGTCTTCTTTCAGAAGTAGTGTATGGACGGATGGGATTCATCTCAGAAGAAAAGCGATTAGTCTCATTCATCATGTCTGGACCATTTAGATCACTGCAGGTCTTATTCAAAAGCAGAGAACACTAAACTGCAGTTCAAAAAAATAGTTTTAAGCATGCAAACAGCCTTCCTTGCATTCCACAGCTGCCATTCCCTCCATCCAATGGAACATGAGTTTTATGAGGACAATGAGTATCTCCCCAGCTTGCCCACAGATGCAGACAGAACGGAAGACTTCGAATACGAGGTAAGATCACTTTTCTCTTCCTGTTTCTTCCTGAAGGGTTTTGCACACCAAAGGAATTAATTTATTACATTGAGAAATGGCTTATCACATACTTAGAACTCACTAGTATGTGAGTTGTCTGCAATATTTTAACTATGTTGGAAAATACTTTTATAGTCTAAGCTTGAAAATAACTTGGATTCTGTTGCTTTTGATATGGTATAATATCGTGACCATTTTTTCTTCTTTCTATAATGTAAGAGGATTTCTTTAGTAGACTTCAGAAAGGAAATTGTGTTCGTTGCTTTTATTCATTGGGTAGTTTTCTGGTTTTAATTGCTACAGTATTTTATTAGTGATAGTATCCTTCACAAATTCCATGTTCTCTTTATTTTGTCTCGGGTATATATTCCAAAGAGCACTTTCAAGTATCTTTGAATGCTGTTAAAGAAATAATGGGCACATACACACATACACACATGCACACATATATACACAGAGCAGTTCCACAGATGTTTTCTGGAGATGATCTTTATTTAACAACGGTGACACAGTATAGCCTTCATGTGGTTTAATGTTGGATGGTCTATTCTGCAATATCTAACCCTTCAAAACAGTTATCTTCCACTTATTTAATGTTATTCACTAAAAGGATTTAGCCTAATAGTTCTTCTCCTTCTGTGGTCCATAAATCTTTGAAAGGCTTCAGACCACTCTGACATTTAGAAATAAAGTAGATTGAGAAGGTAAAGAAGCTTTTGGTAAACAGGGCTTTTAATGCTTCAGGTGGTATCGTACAGGTTCGGCAAAGTGTTCTTTTCCATCTTACAACCAAGAAATCCTGAAATCTCTTCCCTTAGGAGGATCAGAAATCAAATAAGGCCAATTCAGTGGAGCTCATCTAAAGCAAACAGACGTTTATTTGAAATCTTCCCTCTGCAAAAGTCATTGCTAGCTGCTACAGAAATCATCATTTGGAAAGAGGTTCTCTCACTGTTGTTGGTGTTGTTTTCCTCTCTTCGTCTCCATTACAGGAAGAGTTCTATTTTATAAATTTACTCAGCCATTGGCATACTCTGAAACAGTCATTAGATTTTGGTCTGTTTCAGCAAAATGAATTCTGAAATTGAAGCACTTAACCAAATAATTTAAGAGTATATTGCTTTCCTTCAGTTCGTGGATACTTTGGGTTTGGTGAATAGATCTGGATCACTTTAGCTTCTTATTTAGCTTGTGCCTTAAAGTTGTGTTAAAAATAGGTCTACATTCTGGGGGTGGGGAAGGGAATAGGAGAAAGCGATTAAAGTTAAGCAAGTCAAGAGGAAAGATCCTTTTTCATGAATCAGTGTCACGGCAATATTGTAGCACAGGCTGGTGTCAGAACATTATCCTCTTTTCTTGACCAATATCCTTTGTGCTGGCTCACATCCAGAGGATGACAGTGGTAAATGTTCAGATAAGTTCTCTGTAGGCTGAGATCTTAGTTGATCACAGCACCAGAGTCATTCATTTGCTGTCAGCTGTGGGTTTTGTTGTCAAAGGCACCTTTCTGAGTGATTGAAATAATGTCCCTGTGAAATGTAAAAAGGGAAGAATTCACTATGACAGTCTTCAGTCATGGCAGAGATGCATATGGGTGCATAGTGAGTGGTCACAGGTGGGGACGGAGACATGGAAGAGTATCCTCAGGATCATTTACCAAGTTCCAGAGAGAAGAATGACTCTACCAGTGCGCTCTTACGTTTGTTACAGTTACATGACACATATAAAGTGACATATGTTGTCCCTCATGGCTGCATTGTGTGAAGATTGTAAAAATCAAGTCAATTTATTACTGTTTCCAGGGCCAGCTGTGGAATCTATTGTAAATGAGGAAGAAAATCTAGAAATACTACACCTGTGTGAGCATGTGCTGGCCTTGGGTCTTGAACTCAGAGCCTGGAAACTATCCCTTACTTTTGCTCACTGTACCACTTGAACCACAACTCCTGGCTTTTCGTTAGTTAACTGAAGATAAGAGGCTCATGGAGTTTCCTGTCCATGCTGGCTTGTACTGAAATCTTCAGATATCAGGCTCCTGAGTAGCTAGGATTACAGACATGAGCTACGGTGCCTAGCTTTAAACCTGACTTTATGTTTTGCACAACCACAATAGCACAAAGAAACAGATTGACCTGAGTATTTCTCTGGCCAGCTAAGATGACCCTAGCTGTACTTAGGCTTAATTAGAACCCAGTAGCTAGAGAAAGAGCACCATCAGGGAAGACTAGTTATTGCCACTTCAGAGAGTATTACAGAGCTAGGTGCCAGTGGCTCACCCTGTGATCCTAGCTACTCAGGAACTGAGATCTGAGGATCGTGGTTCCAAACCAGCCCAAGTAAGAAAGTCCGTGAGACTCTTACCTCCAATTAACCACCAAAAAAGCCTGAAGTATAAGTGCTAGCCTTTTGGGTGAAAAGCAAAGGGTCAGTGCATCAGTCCTGAGTTAAAGCACAGATAGGGAAGGGAAGGGGAGGGGAGGGGAGAATGGTATCAGGTCAGAGGGAGACCCCGAAAACATGAGCATAATAAACCAGCAAAGAAGTAGGGAGAAGACTGCTCTTCCATCAGCTTTCATTCATTGGTACCTAAGCGGTGGGTACACACTTCAAAGGTACCAAGCACTCACCTAAGTACAAGTACCGGTTCACCGAAATGCCTGCCTTAGTTTCACTGCTTGGGGAGGAAGATGGACAGTGGATGTGTAAATAAAGACCTACTCTATCTAATAGAGGAGAGGTGGCAGTAAAGGCCAGGAGTGGGTGCAGAAGATGGAGAATCATGGTGTTAGGGTAGGATGCTGCAGTATTATACACGATCGTTAGGGAAGTCCTCTTATGAGAAACTCAAGGAAAGAAAGAGGTGGAACTTTCCAGAAAAGGGAAGGGCAAAGGCCAAGTGGAGAATGTGAATCAGAAGAAGAGGCCCATTGGAAGAGGTGCTCTAGACTTTTACTCTGAGAAAGGAAGTTGCTGGAGCAGAGAAGGGCCTGTTCTTCTTCTTCTATTATTATTATTATTATTACATTATCTTGAAGCAGTTGTACGAAGGGGCTTTAATTCAACATGCCAGTTTATCAGTACAGTGCATCTTGATGATTGTCACCTCTTCCATCATTCTTCCCCCTCTCTCCCAACCCCACCCTCCCTCTCAATTTTCCTAGTTCCATTTTCACATATGTGCATTGAATATTGGGACCATGGTCTCCCTCGCTCTCTGTCTGCCCTCCCTCCCTTGCTCCTAGCCCCTGACCCCTCAAGTTCCAGTTTCCTGTTCATTCATTCTGTTAGACTGTAAAATGAAGTTGTTCAAAACGTTAGCACCATTGGAATTCTCCCCTCCATACACCATACTTTAATGTTCATGTATCCATACAGGTGACCATGTATATGTCTGCAGAAATATATATATGCACACACATGTACGTATATATACACATGCACACAAATTAAATCTAACTTCTCTGGGCCTGACTTCACTTATAAAATTTTCCAGGTCCATCCATTTCTTTGCAAATGATATAATATTTTTCCTGATGGGTGAGAATTCTACTTTTGTGTGTATGTGAGTAAATATATAAATATATATTTATCTCTTTATATATATATATATATAAAGTATATATATATAAAGAGATGAATAGACACACATATGTACATACATACAGGTACATGTATGTATATGTGCATATGTATCTATACATAGACATTTCTTGATCCGCTGTTTTCCTGATCCATTCATCCACTGAAGGGCGTCTGGCTGGGCCTGGCTCAGGCTGTGATAAGCTTGAACAGAGGGAAGCAAAGGGTGCAGCAGGGCAGACAGGTGAGAGGGAGAGGTGGCCGGTACCTAGATATTTCTGGCCAATAGGGAAGGACAAAGTTGGCATATTTGGCATCTTACTCAATTCCATGGGCTCTGCCTAACTATCTGTCTTTCCATTTCTTCTCTCAGCTTGAATACAGTTTGTGCTACAATGGTCTGTCTTCTGACTTCTTTTAAGCAAAATTGAGAGTAGAGTGAAGTATAGTTTCTGTTATCCTCTGGAGTGATCATAATAAATGTGCCCCTTAAGGTACAGAAGTGAGCTGGGGGCAGATGGCTCACACCTGTCATCCAAGCTACTCCAGAGGTTGAGAGCTGAGGATCAAAGTTTGAAGGCAAGAAAATCTATGAGACTCTTCTCTCTAATTAACCATAAAGGCCTGAAGTAAGAGTACTAGCCTTGTTCAAAAAAAGTTAAGGGACAGTACCCAGGCCCTGAGTTCAAGCCCCAGTACCAGCACGTAAATAAAATAAAACAAAATGCAGAACTCAGGGTCTACAGAGTATATCTCCAAACACGCTCAAACACAAACTATGCAGGTCAAAATTTTCTGCAACCAACTATGCAGCTACTTAATGCGCTTAAAAAAAAACAACAACAACCTACTTACAAGTGACTCAGTGGACCACGGCTGATCTGTCTATCTTGTGAATACATATTTAGAGACATTTAGCACATGGATTATTTGACCCAGTGGACCTAACCAGATCTGACAATCTTTTAAATCTGTATAAGGGAATATTTTAACATGTACACTATTGCACCGAGGGACTATTTTAGAGCGTTGTCACCACCGTGCTGGACGGCAGACCCAGCTGTGGAGATATTCTACAGTGTGCTGGTGACTCTGGTGTGTTCGGGACTCTATAAAATTTTAATGACACCCATATCTCACCATGGCCTATCGTCATTTTTCCTAAGAAAAATATTTGACTGGGTTTTAAACTTCCCCACAATGCTTCAGAATCATCTCCGAGGACCAGTCTACATTAAAAGACTCACAGCTTGAAATTTGTTCTCTTTAAAAAATGATGACACTTGGTCTCTAATTAAAAATGACGAATGATTTTAATTTTATTTTTGAGAGGAGGGGAAAATAAAAATACCAAAATTGAAACAATGTTCTCATACGAAGAGTCTGGGTGCTACTTGCCA